CACCTGTAACTCGGGATACACACTGAACGGCATTCCTAACCTACGTGCCGAGCCGACGGAACTTGGAGTCATTCTGTTCCAACATGCACACGTAAGATTTATTGGCACTAGTATACACAAGAAATTCTTACCAAAATAAATTATTCAACGGCCATTTAGTAGTGAGGATATCAGAAGGGTAATTTCTTTCAAAACAAGCGTTTGTAAACAGACGCCTAGGTACGGTGGACAAAGTCAATCTAAAGTGTATAATTTGGTACACAGTCATAGAACGCGTACGTAAAATTTTTGTTTTTCAGTTTTTGTCCATAAAGATCAATTATCTCCTAGACATACATACTTGTCCTACTCAGCAAAAAGCATATACAAGATATTATGTTGTCTTTTCTAGCTAGATGTTTTATATTTTTTATCTATTTTTGTACTTTATATTGCAGCGGTCCAATGTCCGGCTCGGGCGGCCCCAGCTAACGGAGCGGTGACTCCTATCGGTCCAGTCTCCTACCCGAACGGGGTTATCTTCACTTGTAACTCGGGATACACACTGAACGGCATTCCTAACCCTACGTGCCGAGCCGACGGAACGTGGAGTCATCCTGTTCCAACATGCACACGTAAGATTAATCTGGCACTAGTATACACAAGAAATTCCTCGCAAGATAAATAAATCATTTAACTGAGATTTAGCGGTGAGGATATTGGATGTGTCGTCCCTTTCAGAATTTAAGCGCTGGCAAACAGACATCTATTTAAGGTTGGCGGAGTCGATCTAAGAATATAATTTAATACAAGACTCTTTTGCAGGTTGTTTTGTGTCCAATTATCTCCTAGGCGTACGTACGTGTCCTACTCAGCAAAAGGCATATTTCATTTTTGTACTTTATATTGCAGCGGTCCAATGTCCAGCTCGGGCCGCCCCAGCTAACGGGGCGGTGACTCCTACCGGAGCGGTCTCCTACCCGAACTCGGTCACCTTCACCTGTAACTCGGGATACACACTGAACGGAGCTTCTACTCCTACGTGCCAAGCTGACGGAACATGGAGTCATCCTGTTCCAACATGCACACGTAAGATTTATTTGGCACTAGTATACACAAGAAATTCTTACCAAAATAAATTATTCAACGGCCATTTAGTAGTGAGGATATCAGAAGGGTAATTTCTTTCAAAACAAGCGTTTGCAAACAGACGCCTAGGTACGGTGGACAAAGTCAATCTAAAGTGTATAATTTGGTACACAATCATAGAACGCGTACGTAAAATTTTTGTTTTGCAGGTTTTTTCCATAAAGATCAATTATCTCCTAGACATACATACTTGTCCTACTCAGCAAAAAGCATATATAAGATATTGTGTTGTCTTTTCTAGCTAGATGTTTTATATTTTTTTATCTATTTTTGTACTTTATATTGCAGCGGTCCAATGCCCGACTCTGACGGCCCCGGCTAACGGAGCGGTGACTCCTACCGGAGCGGTCTCCTACCCGAACGGGGTCACCTTCACCTGTAACTCGGGATACACACTGAACGGCATTCCTAACCCTACGTGCCGAGCCGACGGAACTTGGAGTCATCCTGTTCCAACATGCACACGTAAGATTAATCTGGCACTAGTATACACAAGAAATTCCTCGCAAGATAAATAAATCATTTAACTGAGATTTAGCGGTGAGGATATTGGATGTGTCGTCCCTTTCAGAATTTAAGCGCTGGCAAACAGACATCTATTTAAGGTTGGCGGAGTCGATCTAAGAATATCATTTAATACAAGATGCTTCTTTTGCAGGTTGTTTTGTGTCCAATTATCTCCTAGACGTACGTACGTGTCCTACTCAGCAAAAGGCATATCTCATTAATTTTTGTACTTTATATTGCAGCGGTCCAATGTCCGGATCGGGCCGCCCCAGCTAACGGGGCGGTGAGTCCTACCGGAGCGGTCTCCTACCCGAACTCGGTCACCTTCACCTGTAACTCGGGATACACACTGAACGGAGCTTCTACTCCTACGTGCCAAGCTGACGGAACGTGGAGTCATCCTGTCCCAACATGCACACGTAAGATGAGTTTGATACTGTAGAATCTTGTAATTTCTTACGAAACGTTTTTACGCGCTATAGTGACGAGAACATGCGACCGCAGATATTAGGATGGATGTAACTATTTGACCATTGCAGCGGTCCAATGTCCGGCTCGGGTGGCCCCAGCTAACGGAGCGGTGAGTCCTGCCGGAGCGGTCTCCTACCCGAACGGGGTCACCTTCACCTGTAACACGGGATACGCAGTGAACGGCGCTGCTCGTACGACCTGCCAAGCCGACGGGACATGGAGTCATCCTGTTCCAGTATGCACACGTAAGACGACCTGCAAGTTGATATAATTATTTCTACCAACTGAAATGTCCATGGATTTATGCATGACATTCACCAGATAGTAAAAAGACATTTAGTTTTTTTTTCCGTACGGGAATAGATAAAGGCATACATAATATATTTTGTATTGGAGGGAAATCGAATAATCTTTCTGTATTCAAAACATATTAAAGATTAACATTTATTGTTTTGTTCATTATTAGTACATTATTTAATAGTTATCTGAAAAAACGGTTCTTGACCATTTCAGCCATTGCAGCTATACAATGTCCGACGGTGACGGCCCCAGCTAACGGAGCGCTCAGCACCACAGCGACCTCCTACCAGACCGTGGTCATCTTCACCTGTAACACCGGATACGCACTGAATGGCGCTGCTACTACGACCTGCCAAGCAGACGGGACATGGAGTCATCCTGTTCCAGTATGCACACGTAAGACGACCTTCATTTTATTATAATTTTTTCTACCGATTGAAATGTCCTTAGATTTATGTATGACACCAACAGATAGCAAAAAGACATTTATTTTTTTCAGTACGAGAATAGATAAAGGCATCTATAATACATTTTTGTATTGGAGGGCAATCGAGCAACCTTTCTGTATTCAAAACATGATAAAGATTAACATTTTTTTTGTTTTGTTCATCATTAGTACATTAATGGTCATCTGAAAAAAAGGTTCTTCACCATTTTAGTCATTGCAGCCATACAATGTCCGACGCTGACGGCCCCATCTAACGGAGCGCTCAGCACAGGAGCGACCTCCTACCAGACCGTGGTCACCTTCACCTGTAACACCGGATACGCACTGAACGGCACTGCTACTACGACCTGCCAAGCTGACGGGACATGGAGTAATCCTGTTCCAACATGCACACGTAAGACGACTTTTATCTAATTAATATATGCAATACAATACAATAAAATATGAAACATACATCTAAGCATAAATAGATGGTGATAAAAAATGCACATGTACGCATCATCTAGGCGTTTTTTCACTCCATGTAACAATATGTGGACCCCTAAATTAAAAGCCTCTTCACAGTTATTCCTGCATGAGTTAAGCAGCACCAAGTGGAATTAAGAATCGTCAAAATCGAACGTCGTTGGAATGCTCAGAATGGGGTTCTACTCAAACCAGACCACCCTTCGATATTTTCCCACTTCGAGATCACACACCTGGTTCACAAGGAATTTGCAAATATTTTAAATGCAGCAAAAATTTCTACATGAAATATCCAGGAATGTATTTCATTCAGACGGCATAGCGGTTTATTACGCCTCTCATGTGGGTATGAAGGGCTGTTAACCAGTTAACCAAGACTATTTAACTTTTGCAGGCAGACAATGTCCGGCGTTGGCGGCCCCAGCGTTCGGAGTCCTGCGTCCTATCGGAGCTAGGTCCTACCAGGACACGGTCACCTTTGAATGCAACCCGGGATACCAACTGAACGGCGCTACCTCTGTCACATGCCAAGCTGACGGGACTTGGAGTAATCCTGTTCCAACATGTTCACGTGAGATAACTTAAGCTAATCAATATTTATAGGCAAATGCAATCAATTCAGTATCTTATCAAAAGCTTTGTTCGGCCATATATAATTTTTATCTATTGCACTTTATTCATTCTATACAAAGTTACAAACAATAAGGAAACAAATATCAGTTATTAAGAATGTGATCCCAAACATCACTAAGTTTATACCCCCC